CGCGCCTTGAGGCCGGCCCAGTCGTAGCCCATCTCGGACGGCTTGACGCCCCACAGGTCAAACTGAAGGAAACCTTGGGAGGCGGGGGAGCCCTGGAAGCTCGGGTAAGGCCCCAGCTCAGCCGCGAGGTCCACCGAGGCCTCGACAGCGGCAAAGTAGATGCTCTGGAAGATGCCCCGGTTGAGCGCCCTCGCCGCGGGCGAGCTGAAGGGCATGCGCAGCATCATAAAAACGTCCGCCAAGCCCTGGACTCCCAGCCCGAGGGGGCGATGCAGCATGTTGGAGCGGCGGGCCTCCGGCACGGGGTAGAAGGTGCGGTCCACGACCAGGTCCAGGTTGCGGATCGCCACCTTGGTGACCTCGCGCAGCATCTTCATGTCAAAGAACGGCTTGTTGTCCGAGTCCAGGGTGACAAACTGGGGCAGCGCAAGGGAGGCCAGGGAGCAGACCGCCACCTCATCCTTGGCGGTAAACTCCGTGATCTCTGTATGGAGAGAGAGCTTGCTCTCTTGGTCGAGTTGGCAGTCGTGGCCCTCAACCTGATACTGGCCGCTGCGATAGCAGCCTGCTGCATTGTCGCAAGGCAAAGGAAGAAGGAAAGGTTCCTCACTCAACCGGACAAGCTGGCAGCGAAGCTGTCCTGCATGCAAGACAGTGCCAAGGCCCACTTTGATGTAGAATCTCCCGTCTTTCACGATGCCTCATCCGACTCACTACCCCAGACACCCGAAGCCTAACACTTACCAGCACAGAGGTTCGAGCTCTTGATGGTCCCCAGGTGCTTCTGGTTGCTCTTGCGGTTGACGGCGTCCTTGTAGAGCACGTAGGGCGTGCCGCCCTCCACCTGGGCGGTCAGCATGGCGCTCCAGACAGCCTTGGCGCGGACCACGCGGCTTGCAAGCCCGGGCGTGGCCTCGTACCTCTCGTACAGCTCGTCAAAGGCCTCTCCGTAGCAATAGGACAGGCCCCTGGCCTTGTCGGGGTCAAAAAGGGTCCACACCCCGTCCTGCTCGACGCGCCTGATGAATAGGTCGGGCACCCACAGAGCCGTAAACAGGTCGCGGCACCGCATCTCCTCATTCCCGCTGTTCTTGCGCAGCTCCAGGAAGTCAAAGACGTCCGCATGCCAGGGCTCCAAGTAGATGGCAATTGATCCCTTGCGCTTGCCGCCCTGCAGAGACAGAACTTTAATGTCCAAACCTCCAGAAATCAACACCGTCTTTCACTTGCAACGATGGTCTTGCCCGCCTGATCGGCTCGATGTCAGGGGGCGGCATCATTGCGTGCTTGATTACTGCAAAGCTGTGGGTCCTGCAGTCGTTTACGAACAGGAAGTATCTTCTGGGCCGGCTTCTCGAAAAGCGCGCAAGCGTCTCGATTGTATGGTCGGGGTGAGCCTCGAAGACGATCTCAAATTCGGGGTTTGGATCGCTCAATAACTTGACACCAACAAGCGACAGCACACGGGGGTCCGTATTCGCGGGGTCAAGCTCGGGGAAATGCTCCATAACAACCGTCTCCCGGCCATCACGGCTCTTGGCCTCCAGCGAGAGGTGGTGCAAGAAGGGCAGACACCTGAAGCGGTGCAGGCGGAGGCGGAGATCGACACCCATCCTTTACTCTTGGCAATATCAGAATCTCAAAGAGTGAGGCGAACCTGGTTGACGTAGCGGGCCAGGGCGTCAAAGTTGCGCAGCATGGGCACGATGCCGGTGGCCTTCCCTGCGGTGCCCCTGATGTCCGCTCCGTTGGAGCGGATCGAGTGGACGTGTATGCCCAGGCCCCCACCCCACTTGCTGATCAGGGCACACTTTTTGAGCGTGTCAAAGATGCCCTCGATCGAGTCCTGGTCGTCTCCCATGCCGTAGAGGAAGCAGCTACTGCAGAGGAGAAGGCGGGGAATGCGTATTGTTCAGCCGAACAATACCCTTGTATTTGTAGATATGCCTCTCAAAGCCATGGACGGTACCAAGCGAGGTGTATGCTGGCTTCGTGAGCATTTCAAAAAGGTGCAACAGAACGTCGGCTTCACAGTTGGCCAGATCTCTGACCTCTTCCTGCACACGAAGGGGGTCAGAATGCCCGCAACTGAACTTGAATCATGGCTGCACGCCTATGGCATCAGACCAGACAGCGGGTTTAAAGCACCTTTAGAGGCTGCAGCAACACCTCTGGTATGCACAACGCACCGCCACATCACAATTGCACTTCCTGAAGGTGTTAAGCATGTCATACTCTATCCTTTAGCTGCAGGGGCGCTAACAGTGGCAAAGTTGCGCGAGAGTCTTGTTCAACACAGACTTGTCCTTCCGGAAGAGGTTGGCCGAATGGACTTTGTTGAACCATGGCAAAGCAACAGCAGTCTGATGACAGACGTTGTTCCTGAAGATGT